GTAAAAATCGACGCGTTTCAGGAAGGCGGGGCATAGAGGAGAAACAATAATGTACAGTATGTGGAAAATAATGTTTAAAATAATTTAACCTTAAACAGCATAAACACATTTCATTACACCAAATACACAAAATAATGTTCTTTTTAGCAACATCATATGAACCCTTTAAGTGAATAAAATAGCCTTGACAGCCTTACTTACTAGAGTTCCACAACTATTGGCTTTGTTCTCTCTCACTGGACTTGTGTGTGTGTAGATGATCATGTAAAAGAGGAAAGCAGGCATTTGGACCAAAGCACTGTGAGGCAAGGGAGGGGAGACTCAAAATGTTTCTAAACGTAAAATGCATTTTTGCCCCATTTGTGTTGTTTTACTACTTACACAAACAATTAAAGTATAAAACATTGTTATTTACAATGCACAGCATGGTTTTAAATCATATTTTAGAGGGGACGACCCTCAGACAACCCCCCACCCCCGGAATTTCCACCTATGCTACCACCACCATGTTTCACAGATGGGATAAGGTTCTTATGCTGGAATGCAGTGTTTTCTTTCTCCAAACATAATGCTGCTCATTTAAAAACTGTTAACTCTGTTAACTGTTCCTGTGGCTCAGTGGTAGAGCATTGCGTTAGCAGCGCAAAAGGTCATGGGTTTGATTCCCAGGGAACACACATGCTGGTAAAAAAAAATGTATAGCCTGAATGCACTGTAAGTCGATTTGGATAAAAGTGTCTGCTAAATGCATTAATTATAAATTATTAAACCGAAATGTTCTATTTTGGTCTCATCCATCCACAAAATATTTCTCCAGTATTCCTCTGGCTTGTCCACATGATCTTTAGCAAACTGCAGATGAGCAGCAGTGTTCTTTTTGGAGAGACTTTTACACGTCTTGCTTTTAGAGTGTTCTTTGTTGGTCAATCACCCCTGGGGAGGATAACAGTGGTCTTGAATTTCCTCCATTTGTACACAATCTGTCTGACTGTGGATTGGTGGAGTCCAAACTCTTTAGAGATGGCTTTGAAACCTTTTCTAGCCTGATGAGCAACACCACCTCTTTTTCTGAGGTCATCATAGATCTAATTTGTTTGTGCCATGATACTCTTCCACAAACATGACCAAACTTTGATAGATCCCTGTTCTTTAAATAAACCAGGGCACACATTGACACCTGATAGTCATCTCACTGATTAAAAACACCTCTGAACAGATGGATTTCACCTTCAAATTAACAGCTAATCCTAGAGATTCACATAATTTTGCCGCTCACAGATATGTAATATTGGATCATTTTCCTGAATAAATAAATGACAACGTATATATTTTCATCTCATTTGTTTGATTGGGTTCTCTTTGTCAACTTTCAGGACTTGTGCAAAAGTCTGATTATGTTTGGGTTATATTTATGCAGAAATATAGAAAATTCTAAAGGGTTCACAAACTTTCAAGCAGCACTGTATATATGATGATGATGATTATGAGCTTGTGCCTGATTTAGCCCGAGTGATATTAAAAATAACACTAAAATCCCTATGAATGTTCACAGTTTTAATTTGACAACAACTACATTTTATTTATGTATTTATTTTGTCTTATTCATTCTTGTCCTGATTTGTCTATAGTTTCAGCAAATACATCTTCATCAGAAAATTACACTGCGGTAAGTGCTGGGCAAGTACACAAAAAAATTAGTGTAGAATTTACTTAGAAACAATTTTCACTCAGAAATTGCGAGTAAACTTCACAATTAACTGCAAAGAAAGGCAAGCAACACATTGAGTTAAATATGAAATTCTGAAAGACTTATATAGTATTATATAGTCAATTAAATAGTATTTTCTTGTAAAACAATAAGCTTCAATATATATATATATAAAGCTATCCTGTCCAGCATTTGCTTGCACGAATGATTGTTATGACCAGTTCAGGAATACAACAGCGAAGCCCTGCCAATCCAGTGAAAATTTCTGTAAGGTCAGTCTGCCGTGCTGCGCTTTCAGATGGGAACCTCCAGTGGAAAGTAATCCATGCAAATCATGCACTGATGCAGGCTTGATTTAAAAAGTTACTTCTCACTCTGTTGTGCTTCAGATAATGAAAGGGGACGCAGGTTACTCTGTCAGCTGCAGTGCCTCATGTGGCGTGTCCTGCGGGAACGGGACTCTCAGTAATTGCTCTGTCAACTGTTGCAACACAACCAACTGCCTCAACAACACTCTGCATGCCATGTCCAATTCACTCAGTACCACAGGTAACCTCCAACTCTTTCTCTTATTATCTCTAACATATGTGAGTCGAAACATTTGAATATTGACTCTTTTATTACTGCTATCTTGTCATTAGTAGCTACAACAAAACCCACTACTACAACCACAACCATAAAGACCACAGTTCCAACCACCCCAGCAAGCAATGTAAGAACACACACAGCTATTTGTCACTTTAGGGCACAAACTAACATTTTCTGCCACCTTCTCACGTTTCTTTGTTTTTCTTACTCCCAAAAGGGCAAGAAGTGTCATCATGTCACGTGTAATGGAGCAGCGTGTTACAAATCCAATAATGTCATCAGTAAGGTCATGTCATGTCCAGTTGGTCAGGACTACTGCATGGTAAAGCAAAAATAAATAAATGCATCTTTTATTTATTTTATAATTTAATTGTCCTAATCATCTGTTTTATATATTTCCCCACAGTTTAGGGCTGTTCACACCAGATCGATAACTAGCACTATAAATTTTTCTGATAAGCATTCTAAATCTATGAGAATGCAATGAAAAACCATGTAAAATGTCTGTGTCATCTATTTAAAATGCATTTTTATTGGTCTAATTTAAAAAAAAGCATTTTGTTTAAATAGTCTTTTCGGTTGATATGCTGAACCGATACTGGCTATTTTTACTGAATGCAGACATGATAGTAGGTTTTAATTATTTTTCTTTTGTTTTTTTTTCTTAGTTAATAACAGAAAATATTATGCATATTTTTAAAAAGACATCATAAAAATTCATATATATTAATAGAAAGAAAATAAACCAAAATCAGTTTTAAAATGTTAATTTTTTTTTTTTATTAATTATAAATGTAACTTCGTTTTGTTTAAAGTAAAGGTATGTTGTAAAAAAGTCAAATATATATTGACCTACATTAAGTGACATTTTGGCTTATGTCTAGAGAAAATATATAAAGTGGTCTTTATAATAAATAATCTTTTTTTATTATTTGTATGAAGGTTTTGTCTTTGGGAAAAGAAAATGTTTTTTATTACGATTAAATCTAAATTTAAGGTTTAAGCCAAAACATAAATATAATTGGTAACACGGTACAATAACCATCCTTAGTTAACCTTAGTTAATGCATTAACTAGCATAAACCAATTATGAGCAATACATTTGCTACATTTGAATATTTGTTGATGTTATTTAAATTAAAATACACCTGTTCCTTGTTAGTTCATATTAGCCCAGGTTCATTAAATAATATTAACAGAGATAAGTTTTGATAAAAAAAAAATATATATATATATATATATATATATATGTATGTATGTATTAGGACATGTTGAAATTAACATTAACTATGATTAATTAAGGCATTATAAGTATAACTTTTTCAGTGAAGGAACTACAGCTAATGATAACGGCACAGAGGAACATCATTGTTGGAATCACTTTCAGATTGATTTTTCGAGCTAATGAATGGTAAAAACATTGACAGCCAATCAGAGTTCATCCTATTTTAAAGAGCTTAAAAATTTAAAGTAACAGACAAAAAAAAAAAAAAACTGCAGCATTCGCTCATAATAGACAGCACGTTATCGGCCTTTGGTGTGGACTCTATAATAATCATTAAATAATGATCATAATAGCTTATCATTCTTGGTGTTATCTTTAGTTATAAGCTCTTGGTTCTCTCCTCAAACCTTTTCCCAAATCATTATCCCACAAACACATATATTTTTATACCCCATAATAATCACCACTATATGAACCTATTTAAATAACCCACCTCATCTTCCCCTCTATGGGCCTGTCCATATAAGGTTCAAATAAGTGGGGGCTCATCCGGGATAATATTGTCACCATATTCTGCAATGTTTTTGTGTGGTGAATGGCAATCTCAACAAATTATAATACTTCATAAGACCAATAAAAAAACATTTTTAGTGAATTGTTGGCCTTCTGGAAAGTATGTTCTTACTGTTTTTTTTTTTTTACTATCGTGTGTTGAAGGATATTTGGTTAAATACTGATCTCATGCTCTAATGCACCATATTATACATGAATGTTAAATGAAAGCAACTCATTGTCTCACTTCCTAGCTACAAAAGACAACATCTGGCAGCACAGAGAGCTGGCAGGCGGGTTGCAGTACAGATTGCAGAAAGATGACAGTTTGTTCAAGTACCACTACTGCCTGTCACTTGGAGTGCTGCAGTGCCACTACAACCCTGTCATGCCTCAAACTGACAGGTGATGTGAACATACCCAGCTCCGCCACCAGGGGTCCTCACTGTCCCGCACTGCTCATGGCCTGTTTGCTGCTCTTCTGGATAGTCAAAGTCTTCACTTGAGCATAACAAAGTCACATTTAATAGGCAATCCAAGGAAGTGCCGTTTTCTATTAGGAGAGTGTATGAGTGTTTTAAAGCTGATTGTACTTCTTTTACTGTCACTTTCACTTTTTTTGTGATGTAAGCAAATTAAGGTGTGTGTGTGTGTGTGTGTGTGCGTGTGTGTATGTGTGTGTCTGTAAGATCAGCATGAGAAGCAGAATGTGTGTGTGTATATATTATATATGTGTATAGATGCCAAATAAGCTTTACCATTGGCATCTGCAGAGAGTTACATCAAGTGGGAACATGCCTGTTGTTGGATTCTTTTTATCACAGAGTAAGACAGAAATGATACTCAGAGGAATATATTAACACTGCAGCGACAAGTATGAGGTTTGTTTCCTCTCACGAGTAGTGTATCTTTGATTAATTCTTGCTCTTTTTTGACGTTAATGTACACTCTAAGAAAAAAAAATTTAGTAAATGGACTTTGTCTTGGCAGAAAAGTACCACTATTATTTCCGTTAAGTTCAAGGACATCTCCTTCAACCCTATAACACAATGCACAACTGGTAAAACACCTGAGAAAAATCAATACATATTAACATGGTACATTGGGCTGTATTTGTATGGACTTTTCTTACAGTGCACGCATGTTTGAATTTTGATTACATTCAATCATAGTGATCTGAGGCTTCTTTTCTTACTCTTATTTAGTTTGGTGTCCACTGTACACAGGTTTTGTGCTTTCTAAAAAATAAATTTTCTATTCTATATTACTCGGAATACTCCAAAGAATATTATTAGAATGCTCAGATAATCCATTTTCTGATTATAAATTATATGAAATTAAAAAAATAGGTTGTCCAATCAGGCAGATTTCACCCTGTGTGCATGCAAAAATAATAGTTATGTACAAACCTGCTAACGTCAAACAAATGGAGTATGCACTTTATGCATCTAAATGGAAATTAGACAATGTAAAATATTTATAAAGCATTTATAATATTGGACATATGAAAGCCTATACTCCTAAATATAAAGCTTTATTTTTACAGAGAAATGTGTTTATTAAAATGTAAGTGAACAGATCTAAGAGCATATAGGCTATGCTAATTTTCTTAAATAACATTTGAATTCACAAATTCTGTCAGAGTAACATTAGGCCTACTGTTAATCTAATAAACAAATAGGATTTTGACAGCTTGGTTGATAAAGGTTGCAGTGATTTTTATTGCTCTGTACTGCTTTAATCTGACAGCAATTAAATACTAATATTTAGCTACTTTATATATATATATATTAGTATTTCATTGCTGTCAGATTAAAGCAAAATATTTCAATGAGATTAAAACCAGCTTCACTGTTATACAAGAAATAGATCTTAATAATTGCTTTTGAAATGAATAAATAAATACTTTATCTTCTCAGCACCCAGTAGTAAAGCATTTATTTCTACATTTTCTTGTTCTTTACATTCTCCTAAAATGCATTACAATATATATATACACACAGGTGCATCTCAAAAAATAAGAATATCGTGAAACAGTTTTTTTTTTGTAACTTATTTCAAAAAGTGATACTTTCATATATTCTAGATTCATTATATGTAAAGTAAAACATTAAAAAAAAACATTTTAATATATTTTTTTTTTGATGGTTAGAGCTTACAGCTCATGAAAGTCAAAAATCCAGTATCTCAAAATATTAGAATATTTACATTTGAGTTTCATTAAATGAGCATCCCTACAGTATAAATTGCGGGTATCTCTTGTTCTTTGAAACCACAATAATGTGGAAGACTGCAATGGTCCAGAAGGCAATCATTGACACTCTCCACAAAGAGGATAAGTCCCAGAAGCTCATTACTGAAAGAGCGGCTGTTCACAGAGTGCTGTATCAAAGCATATTAAATGCAAAGTTGACTGGAAGGAAGAAATTGGGAAGGAAAAGGTGCACAAGCAACAGGGATGACCGCAAGCTTGAGAATACTCAAAAGTCACCACGCTCAGACGTCTTCAGGAAAAGAGCTACCAAGCCACTTCTGAAACAGAAACAACGTCAGAAGCATCTTACCTGGGCTAAGGAGAAAAACAACTGAACTGTTGCTCAATGCTCCAAAGTCCTGTTTTCAGGTAAAAGTAAATTTTGCATTTCATTTGGAAATCTTTTTTTTTCCACAATATTCTAATTTTTTGAGATGCACCTGTGTATATATATATATATATATATATATAGTATATAGTATAGTATTCCATGCCAAACGCAGCCTATGTATAGTGTGCATGAATAAAAGTAAAAAAATATATATATAATAAAATAATATATTGTTAGTAAACTTCTATTTAGCTTTTTCAGTTTTGTTACCTACACCATCATTTACTTGAAATATTACTTTTTATGCTTTTCGTCTATTATTATTATTATTATTTCTTTTTATGATTTTCCTCTAATATTTATATTTATTTTATTTTAATCTTTATTTCAATTACATATTTATTTATTTATTTACAATAATACTAGTGTGCTGTATTATTACACTATAGTATTCCATACGAAACACATCCTATACATAAAGAAATATTGCATACTACGGACAGTATGCATATTATATACAGTACTTCACAAATAGTAATTGAGACATGCTGTTCAAAACATTGCAAATACGAACGATAGCGCCAACTAGTGCATGTGTCGTAAAGGAGTAGTGGGTGGGATCCGAGTCCATCCTACCGAGTTTGGATCTCTGCAGCCTCTGACGCCACTTCTTGGCCAGAAGAAAAGTAATATATCTAAAGAAGAGAAAATCAGAAGTGGCTCTGTTAGCGTGGCTGATGAGAATCTTGATAACCGATCACAGACGTTATGATAAAACTATGATTTGAGCGCTGGGCATGAAGTCTTGAATCTGCTGCGTGGCATTATTGGACAGGAAGCCACTGGACTCGCGGAGGAAACCATGAAGACAGTAAAACACTTCAGACCGTTATCTGGCACACTTTGAACGTCTCGTCTGTTGATGTAAAATGATCGTAAATGACAACTCTTACGTGTGAAGTATCCGGCGCAGACTCGCTGTGAATAATGGATCAGTCCGTGGCAATTCAAGAGACTTTGGCCAAAGGAGAAAACTGCACCATAGTATCCTCTCAGCGCTCATCTGAAACGGCGACTGCATTGCAACGTTATTTTGAAATCGACTACATGTTACTTACGAACTTAAGATTGTTGCGTAACTTTGCACTTTCTAAACATACTATGTGTATTTCTATAAGAAATATATTTAAATTATAGAGTGAATGTCACGTAGTCAATGTTCTCTAAATTTCTGTTTACAATGTATCTTACTAAGCACACACTGTTATTTTTTTGTCCTGTTTTTATCGAGCATGCCCACTTTTAATGGAAAAAGGAAATTTCGGTTAGTGTAATTCCTGACGTTTCCGCTAGATGTCGCAATTGTACAGTGTTAAAATGGCTCTTATAAACCGAGCATCAGTCATCATTAATATCTCGGTTGACAGAAACGTAATGAATTGTGTTAGATATCCTTAGCAGCCCAACACATGCTGTGGAGTGTGTTTCACTGCTGAATGATGTGAGAGAGAGCAAACTGATCGGACTGGTGCAGCAGAACAACGAACATGCGTGAGTTTATGGACTTTTAAGAAAACCATTATAATAATTTTCATCAATAACGTTAATATGCATTACTTCATAATACACAATTGGAATTTTGTAGGGTTTCGTCTATGTAGTTGAGACTAACATCTAAATCTGAATAAATCTTTTAGCAGGTACCATACTGACGTTCCCTCAAAGTTATGAACAAACATTCTTCCATTAATGATAATAGAATGTTCATTTGATGTTATCCTTCTTTAATAATGATCTCAAATCGTTAGCACAAAAACATTATTTTAACATTGTTCACTGAACTTTTTGTGAAATATTTTTGTTAAAGGTTTTTTAAATGTTAATTTAAATCTAAATCTAAAACTTACTAGTTACATTTACATTTAGTCATTTAACAGACGCTTTTATCCAAAGCGACTTACAAATGAGGACAATGGAAGCAATCAAAATCAACAAAAGAGCAATGATATGCAAGTTATATAACAAGTCTCAGCTTAACGCAGTACATGTAGCAAGGATTTTTTTTAAATTATATAATTAATAAAAAGAAAACGAATAGAAGAGAAAAAATAGAGAAAGCTAGTGTTAGAGGCCTTTTTTGCTTTTGTTAACTGTATAATAAATAAAAAGAAAACGGATAGAATACAAAAAGATTAAAAAAGCTAGTGTTAGTTTTTTTTTTAAGAAAACAAGCAGTAAATGAATATAGTGCAAGTCTAAAAGGGACAAGTTTTTTTTTTTTTTAAAGAAAATAATTAGAATAGAGAGTGGTAGAGTTAGAGGGTCAAATAAAGATGGAAGATATGTGTTTTTAGCCGATTCTTGAAGATGGCTAAGGACTCAGCTGCTCGGATTGAGTTGGGCAGGTCATTCCACCAGGAGGGAACATTTAATTTAAAAGTCCGTGAAAGTGATTTTGTGCCTCTTTGAGATGGCACAATAAAGCGACGTTCACTTGCAGAACGCAAGCTTCTAGAGGCACATAAGTCTGAAGTAATGAATTTAGGTAAAGGGGTGCAGAGCCAGTGGTGGTTTTGTATGCAAACATTAATGCCTTGAATTTTATGCGAGCAGCTATTGGTAGCCAGTGCAAACTGATAAACAGAGATGTGACGTGCATTCTTTTTGGCTCATTATAAATTAATCTTGCTGCCGCGTTCTGGATTAATTGTAAAGGTTTGATAGAACTGGCTGGAAGGCCTGCCAAGAGAGCATTGCAATAGCCCAGCCTGGACAGAACAAGAGCTTGAACAAGGAGTTGTGAAGCATGTTCCGAAAGAAAGGGCCTGATCTTCTTGATGTTGAATAAAGCAAATCTGCAGGACCGGACAGTTTTAGCAATGTGGTCTGAGAAAGTAAGCTGATCATCAATCATAACTCCAAGGTTTCTGGCTGTTTTTGAAGGAGTTATGGTTGATGAGCCTTGTGTTGCATGTTCTGAAAGAAAGGGCCTGATCTTCCTAATGTTGTATAAAGCAAATCTGCAGGACCGGGCAGTTTTAGTAATGTGGTCTGAAAAAGTCAGCTGATCATCAATCATAGCTCCAAGGTTTCTGGCTGTTTTTGAAGGAGTTATGGTTGATGTGCCTAACTGGATGGTGAAATTGTGATGAAACGATGAGTTTGATGGAACCACTAGCAGTTCTGTCTTGGCAAGGTTGAGTTGAAGGTGATGGTCCTTCATCCAGCAAGAAATGTCTGTTAGACAAGCTGAGATGTGAGCAGCTATCTTCGGATCATCAGGATGGAATGAGAGGTAGCGTTGAGTGTCATCAGCATAGCAGTGATATGAAAAGCAATGTTTCTGAATGACAGAACCTAGTGATGCCATGTAGACAAAGAAGAGAAGTGGTCCATGAACTGAGCCCTGAGGCACCCCAGTTAGATGTTGCGACTTGGACATCTCACCTCTCCAGGATACCTTGAAGGACCTATCTGAGAGGTAAGACTTAAACCACTGGAGTGCGGTTCCTGAGATGCCCTTTGCCAATAGGGTTGACAGGAGCATCTGGTGGTTAACCGTGTCAAAAGCAGCGGACAGATCCAGCAAGATAAGTATTGAAGATTTAACTGAGAGCAAGGCAGTCTCGGTTGAATGTCCACTTCTGAAACCAGACTGATTGCTGTCGAGGAGGTTGTTCTGTGTGAGAAACGCAGAGACTTGGTTGAACACGGTTCGTTCAAGTGTTTTTGGTTCGTTCAAGTGTTTTTGCAATGAAAGGAAGAAGGGAAACCGGTCTGTAGTTCTCTAAAAGAGATGGGTTAAGGGTGTACTTGTGCCGGTATTCGGTAGGCTTGCTGCGATAGACGGTGTTGACGGTGATACCGGTGTTAAGCCGCAACACCGGTTACGAGATGTTGTGACTTGGACACCTCACCTCTCCAAGATACCTTGAAGGACCTATCTGAGAGATAAGACTCAAACCACTGGAGTGTGGTTCCTGAGATGCCCTTTGCCAATAGGGTTGACAGGAGGATCTGGTGGTTAACCGTGTCAAAAGCAGCGGGCAGATCCAGCAAGATAAGTATTGAAGATTTGGAATCCGCTCTTGCCAGCCTTAGGGCTTCAACATCTGAGAGCAAGGCAGTCTCGGTTGAATGTCCACTTCTGAAACCAGACTGGTTGCTGTCGAGGAGGTTGTTCTGTGTGACAAAGGCAGAGACTTGGTTGAACACAGCTCGTTCAAGTGTTTTTGCAATGAAAGGTAGAAGGGAAACCGGTCTGTATTTCTCTAAAAGAGATGGGTTAAGGGTGGGTTTCTTAAGTAGTGGGGTTATACGAGCCTGTCTGAATGTTGATGGAAAAACACCAGTGTGAAGGGATGTGTTAACGATGTGAGTGAGTGCAGGTACAACGGCAGGAGAAATGGCTTGAAGGAGATGAGATGGAATAGGATCAAGCGGACAAGTAGTAGGATGATTGGAAAGGATGAGTTTGGAGACTTCTGCCTCAGAGAGTGAAGAGAAGGGTGTGAACGAGTGTATGTTTGCTGGTAAGATGTGCTTGAGTTGACAGATTGTGGTGTGGGAAATTGTGCACTGATGGTTTTAATCTTATTAATGAAGAACGTGGCAAAGTCGTCAACCGTTAGAGTTGATGAAGGAGGGGGAGGAGGAGGACAAAGGAGTGAGGAAAATGTTTTAAAGAGCATGCGGGAGTTAGACGAATTGTTAATTTTGTTATGATAGTATGTCTTTTTAGCAGTGGAGACATTAGCAGAGAAGGAAGAGAGGAGTGATTGATGCATATTAAGGTCAGTGGTACGGGCTGGCCTGGAAGACAAGGGGCAGACAAGTGTCTAAACAAGATCAGTAGCACTGTTAGCATCAAGAGATGCTAACTGTTTAGGGGGAGGAAGGGAAGATGAAACCATAGCAGATAGCCGGGAGGGTGAGAGTTGAGCGTAGGTTACGTAGAAAGATGACGTGTAGGGGTATGTGTTGTGTCAGGAACCCATGTTGAGGTTAAGAGTGAGGAGGAAGTGATCCGAGGTGTGCAGTGGAGTAACCAGTACGTGATCAGTGGAGCAGTGTCGTGTGTAAATAAGGTCCAGTTGGTTGCCTGATTTGTGAGCCGTAGTTAACACTCTCTTGAGATCAAAAGAGGCAAGCAGTGTGGATGTCTGCAGCCTGAGGTTTATCTAGGTGGATGTTGAAGTCTCCAAGCATAACTAGGGGAGTACCATCCTCAGGAAAGGTTAAGAGCAGCACATCTAATTCATCCAAGAAGTTACCTAGTGGTCCTCGGGGTCGATAAACAACTGCAAAATGGATTTTAAAAGGGTGGGTAATAGTGACTGAATGTGATTCGGTGTGCCTCACACGTCCTGAAAAGTGAAGCTGCGGGCGCTTTGATCGCCCCCTGGTGGCTGGCTGCAGTACAGGTCATAAACCGGTCTCTGTCAGGGCCATGAGGTTTAGCCTTGAATGACTAGCAATAGATGTAATGAAATCTGCTTTGTTTACTGCAGACTGACAATTCCAGAGACCAATAGAAAAAGAAAGTAGTGTATTAGTAGACATAGGCAAAGTGCGCAGGTTGTTAGGATTGCGCTGCCTACAGTGTGTGATGCGTGGTATGCGAGTGGTAGTGATAGTAGGGATCTGGAAACACATAGTAAAAATTAGTTATAAAAACTGAAAACAGAAGGGAAACAAGTAGTAGGAAAGAGAATGATTCAGAAGCGATACTTATGTGCCTTGCCGGTGTCCCTGTTCGGTGGAGTCGAACGGTAGAGTCAATGGTCTTTACACTCTTCGGTCTTCACACTCCTCTGGTTTGATCCAGGTCTCTGTCAGGGCCATGAGGTTTAGTCTTGAATGACTAGCAATAGATGTAATGAAATCTGCTTTGTTTACTGCAGACTGACAGTCTTTAGATGGTCTTTAGACTCTTCCATCTTCACACGAGGGTTGCCGTGGTATACTAACCTTTTTTATACCATTTGACAAAACGGAAATTGAATTCAGCTGAACACACTTTACTGGTACCCTTCGAAATCCTTCATTCTGAAAGGCCCTTTGAAGTGGCCAGTTTTGAGCACTTCGGTTTGGAATGACCCTTCAAAATGGCAGCCATGAGTGTTTTCACTCCTAAGTGTCCTTCGGAGGACGATATATCCCATTTGGAACGCACCAAAGGTATGCGATAGAGTACGAGACCAAACGCAACTTCAGCACGTCTCAACACAGTAAACAAAACTAGCAACGACAACTGCGCAACAACAAGTCAGGGTTAGCATTCCCATAATGTTTGCAAAGTGATAAAATTGATTGTTCCATTAATGTTGTCTCAAATGTTCACATAACTAAGAAAAAAAAACTTTAAAACATTTTCAAAATGTTTTCATAATTTAATGTGGGAAGGTTAGCAAAATAGATCATCAGCTGGGTATATACATTTAAATTGCTCTTCTGAAAAACAAAAAAACAGGCTTTATTAATGATTTATTTTTTTATTATTTTGTTACTGACTTTTATCAACAGCATGTAAAACTTAGCATTAATAGTTTTTAATTAATGACAAAAATCTAAAAGACAAAAAGTTTATAAAACTAATGTTGTGTTTGCAGACTTTCAGCATGTTCTGTTTATTTTCAGGTTATTCATATATTCCCATCGAAGAATGGCCATCACTGGTGATGATGTCAGACTGGATGAAATCATACCCATTTCTTATGACTTCTCAGTTGTTGAAGGTAATTGTTTAAGGAATTATTTAGTTAATATTAAGTGAAAACATGGTAAATTGATTTAATAGATTAATCTGATATCTCCACAGTTTCATCTCCAGATGAGCTTGCTGTTGTTGGTGAGCATTTATATTATATATCAACAGTTGCAGTAGTGTTTGCATCAAAGTTACAGTAAATATCAATGCATCAATATTCAGTGCATCTCAGGACTATTTTAATAGCTAGTTTACTTGTTATTACAAAGGTGCAGATACTCGGGTACGAGTAACTTTTTTTGAAGAGGATTTGGAGCTGAAGTTACCCTTTGGTTCTCATACCCGTCTCTTCCTCAGTGAAGTCAATCGGGCATGGAGTGGTAAGATACACATTCTGCATGACTTTCCATAGCTTTGGGTCAGTAAAATATTTATTTACTTATGAAAAAAAGGGACAGCTTTATTCATTAAAGGGGTCATATGATGCGATTTCATTTTTTCCTTTCTCTTTGGAGTGTTACAAGCTCTTGGTGCATAAAGAAGATCTGTAAATTTGCAAAGACTAAAGTCTCAAATCCAAAGAGATATTCTTTATAAAAGTTAAGAGTCAACCACGCCTGCCTAAAACGGCTCGTTCTAACACGCCCCCACATATCTACCTCACTAAGTGGGAAGATTTGCATAACGCCGCCCAAAGGTTCACGCAAAGAAAGAAGGCGTAACTTATATTCTCGCTGTAGTATTGTTG